TTATATTTGTTATGTGTAACTTTCAATGTGTTGCGACATTATACAAATAAATAAATAAATTATATTCACAAAACAGCGAGAAGTTCCTATGTATCCATTTTCACTGACATGTCCCCATGGAAGATTTTAAGTACGCCACAGGCCAATAAATGTTATATGGCTTAAATACTTCACTTTTGATGTCTTTATTACACTATACGTTATACTTGAAAATTGAAACATTAATTGTCAACGATCTAATCGAAGTCGAAGGAAGGGTTTCATGACCATGTACAGTGCATAAAAGTCAATAAGAATAATGATTTACTTTATTCTAAAAACACAGGAATAAACACAGAAGTCAGACAAAGGTGCTTATTATCACCCATGATATTCCTAATTGTGGTGGACTGACTGGTTTTTGCGTCAGACAGTGGGAAACGAGAAGACAGGAATATCTTGAACCCACAAACGTGAAGAACCTAGAAGACCTGGATTTTGCGCGTGGATGATTTGTGTTTGGTGTCACACAAATTCGAAGAGTTACAAGCGAAAACCGACAAACTGGCCGAAGAAGCAGCGGCGAAGACAGGACTCCAAGTGAACATAGGCAAGACGGAGGTGATGAAAAAAACCACCAACAACAACAACAGCAGCAGCAACATCGAGCGTCAATCACCATCAATGGGAGGGATTTGAAAGAGGTTACTGCATTCTCTCACTTATCTAGGGAGCGTTGTCTCAATCTTCGTCACTCAGTCAGCATCAACAACAAAATTTAATCGGATTTTCAATACAAACGTCAAGTCAATCAGTTCTTCTATACGGATCAGAAACTTGGCCGGCGGGTAACAAAAAATATTTCCAACAGCCTGTTGCAGACCTTTATTACCAACTGTCTTCGTTGGATCTATACTGAAGATCAAATGGCCGGGCCGGAAAGAATCACCAACAAGAAACTATGGGAACTAACAAACAAAGCAAGAACCAATCGCCCAACAAATATGCATGAGTAAGTTGAGATGGATTGGTCACTCGCTGAGGAGACCACTGGATGACATCGAGCGTCGGACCATTGCTCGAGTGGAACCAGAAATTTGAAGCGGCGAGTGGGACCTCGGTTCAAGGGTGACATGGAGGAGATCGTGTAAAGAGGAGTATGCCAAGTATGGTATCATAGAATTTCTATACTTATAAGTGCGAGCATCCAGTATTCTGATCACATAACAGAACATGGATCATTGAAAACAAACCTGAAAAGATTATTATCAGTTGAACCTAGACTTTCCACTACTTTAGTAGAACAGATACTAAATGAAATCCTGTCAACCAGTTAGTTCAAACAGGTATGAAATCCTCTTTTAAGCGGAATTAATTCTTATTCATGAACATACAATCAAATCTGTGAGAATTAATCAAAGAAATGAGACTGTGAGACATCTGGTGGGGAAGACGACATGAGAATTATCTTTGACATTCGACTAGTAACAAAAACAAAAATGAAATTACAAATTATGATGCACCATCCATATTAGGCTAGAGAACATTCATAACAATCAATGTGATATCAATATTTGACCGAAAGTTCAAAGTACGCTGACAGTTGTGATATCAATGAAACATACAAATGACTTGATCTAGAAAGTTTACTTTAGTTCATCAATATGAAATCACGACATACAAGTTTAGCTGTTTTTATTTAGGATCAATACATTCCATGTAGAGTGTTAAATGATGTATACCATGGTGCAACACGTTCATCAGAACAGCACTTCTGACAGCATTGATTATCGGAATAATTAATTTGTGGACAACTGTTACCTCATACATATTATTCAAAGTACAATAGGTTCATTTATTTGCTTGCATTGCTGAATTCACCTGCTTAATTGCTTGAATACTTGCAGACACCTTCTCAAACAGAATCATTTTGTGTTCAGTAAAGTAATGAAGACAAGTAATGCCTATACTTGTTGAAAAGATACCAAATTTGTTTATATATGTATTTATATTTGTAGATATCATTGCTTTATATGTACCATAGTCTGTCTCATAATTATAATAAACCTGATCGTATATTCACTGAAAAAGGTTAGTGATACCCAAAGACGGGAAGTGAATTTATTCCGATACTATATGATCTTTGTGTGCTTTGAATTCATATGCCATCCACCAAATTCTGCGATGTAATGTAGAAGGTGATGATCATGTCAGTTCAGGTGCTGGGAATCCTTGACAGTAAAACAGTCTGAGGAAACATAATCATTTACATGAGAAGCCGTCAAATAAATAATAATATTAATGGTAAAGCTTTATTTGGGACAGTATGCGAATAAACGGCACAAAAAGTTTCAGCGTATTCAGTTCCAAAGTACTTTTTTCTACACACAGGATTCACATGTAAAGTACCAGTCTGAAGTATATCTTCATTTCGTTGAAGAATTGCACAGCGTTTACTTGGGAGCAAGTTGAAACATCGCGCTAGTTTATGTTTAGATCATTTGATATGACTGGACGATTAAAACAATGATAAATCCAGATGAATTTAAGGATTTTGGAGGAAAAAGATTTCGTTGGCCCAATGATTTAAGCGGGCCGCCTTAAAAAAATATAGTAAATGGACAAACCATTTCAAGAGCCAAAGATTATACATTTTTGGAAAGTAATTCAGATAGTTTATCTACAGAACTTTTCAAGTGCGACAGATTCATTGTGAATTATTTTCAACTGCTCACAACCTGGAATATAGAAAAGCTCTCGATTTGACAGAGAAACATTTTCTAAGAAATACAAGCCACATCTATTTAGTATGCTGTAATTCGTTAAATTATTAGGAATTAACTGAAAGATGGTTTGAAGCGATTAGTGCATTGTTCAAGTCTCAGAGGGTTCACTAAGATCACTCAGTGAAAACACAGGTGTGTGTAGCTGATGCGTAAAATTATACGTCTTTGACGTCACTGCTAGTCAATATCGATCAAAATTACATTCAGACAACTTCTTGAACATCATCGAAACGTCAATAGTACGCGTCAACTTGTCAACAGATACCCTGAATTTCGGTTGAGCATAATTAACTGGTGGGAAATTAACCTTAACAAACTTTTCACTTCATTGTATAACATTTAACTGATATTCAGTCAACTAGTATCATATATCGATCAAACTCTTATAAATAATTCCACTTTAATTCATGCCTCTTAGATTCATTGGAAGTAGGCTCACTGAAATGCCTATGTATTCAAGGCACAAGCCTAAATCTACTAATTCAGAAGATCTGAATAATGAAATCAAGCAAATAAAAGGCAATATAATCTGTGAATAACCACTCTCCAGAATTTATTCAGATATATATGAAGAACCAATAACGAAACTAAAAAATAGCGAAAATGATAGAGTTGAAAGCCTCTGTAGTACTACAAAGAAGGCGCGTTAGAGGCCTCATCTTTGAATTCTCAGAGGGGTTGGAATTAGGGTTGCACTTAAAACAACAACAGGTTTCCCTAAAATCATTTTGTCGACTTAAGGATTCGAGAGATCCAAGTAAGAAAAATAATATCGTCTGCGAAACACCATGTTTCAACAGTTAGGTCAATCACATAGGTCAAACGAGCAGATTGTGATCAGTTGGACTATTAGAACATCACAATTTAGCTCAGTTATTGCACTGCATTCACTTGCACATATTCACGAAATCGAGTGGGACAATGTAAGATTACTTAGAAGAATTATGATTTGAGCGAGAGGTCAATCAGTGCATTTTTTTTCGTCGTTTCGACATCATATGCCTGTAATAGGAATCCCACAACACCCATACTGGAGATATGAAAACTGGCATCAAACAACAAGGGAATGAGAGAGAGAAAGTTGGACAGAAAAATATGTAGAAGACAAAGTGTGAAATCGTGTGTGAGTCAACAGTTACACTGCTTCCTCGGTCGTATTATCACTTAAGAACTAAGCTTAACGTCATCAATTTTTGATGAGATGAATTAGTGATTGTTAGAGTGTGTAACAGTTTTTTTGGTAATTAACGGTGTTCATTTACTACCTCGGAGCTTCACTGGATTACATCTGCTGCTGAGTTTATTCCTGAGAAAATCTCTGGAATACTTTGAGACTTAAACATAATGACGTTATCGTTAGTCTTTCTTCACCACAACATAAGATCACTAATAAAGATTCCTTGAGCTAAGAGGTCTCTTTGAACCATGATTAAATTCATTCATTTTGGGGATATTGTGTAACCCTTAGCCATTCAATCATTTTATTTGTCTATTTCATTTGGAAATCTGATTGCAGCGGAAGTCACACATAGTTTTAGATCAAATATTATTTAACTGGTCGAGATTCTGGTACTGTTTGTGAGCCCAGTGACAATATTTGCCTTGTTCACCGCTGTTTCTAGTGAATCATTCGTCAGAATACCAAAGAACAATCTCCTCACTACCAAACCAACATAGAAATAAGCATTCTCAGAAATATGTTCAAAATAATCTAACGGTGAACAGTTGGATTCAATCATTTTTTGCAGGATAAACATGCGTAAATGCAGTCGAATAGCAATGATAAAATCGTATGGTGACGGAATAAAACTCTGTGACCTTTTATTCAGTTTTATTGCGGAATCAAAACAGTCGAATTGCGCTTTGATTCATTAAACAGACTGAATCAGTGACCTTCGACTTAAGAACTTCAAAGCCTCACTATAGTTATCCACTTAGAAGCATTTAATGATGAACACTGTGCTCACAATTATGTCTCGTTGAATGCACACATATACATATCCTTTTCGTGTGAGTCTATGTGTGAAGAGTTTAGAACCAACTTGTATAAATCGGTAATTTTGACAAAGCTTGTTTCGTTTGAAGTGTAATAAAACTAAGAAACTAAATGGACTATGAACACTCAATATCGACGATATTGTCGCTAAATTTGCTAAATAAAATTAACATATATATATATATATATATGCATGTATACATATATCTGAAATATTAGGTGAAAAACTTCTAACTCAGAAAGATTCTTCGTGAAAGTCAGTTACTCATTTTTCCAGTTCATAACATTTTGTTTATTTGATTTATTGTTAAATTGACTTGAAGAATATTTGTCCCATGTGCTGTGACCAAACGTATAGCGAACAAAAGCCTCCATGTTGTGATGACTGGTCTTTCCCTTCTAAAGATTAGCTAAGAAAAACTTCCTCGAGTAACTAACAGTCTAAAAATGTCCAGAAGATGGTAAAATGCAGTCATGTGCAATGAGATTAGACGTGCCATTTGACATGCATAAGCATGTGGAAAACACAAAATTAGCTCGGTACTTCCATGAGGTAGCTATTATTATTGATATCCATTAGTTCCAAGAGGAACATAAGGCTTCAGCTGCGCTTCTCCATCGTCTTCTGTTTTCTGTCAACTTTTTCACTCCACTTCAAATCTGCCCACATGCTTTCATCTCCTCGTCACACGACCTCCTCCTAGTCACCCTCACACTGACGACCAACTCGCCGCTTCCTTTTCGGGTTCCACTCGAGCAATGGCTTGTCTAGTGATGTCACTTGTTGATTTGTTTCCTCAGTGTATGGCCAATCCATTTCCATTTCTCCCTGCCTATTTGTTTCACAATCAATTCGCTCATCGGCAGAGATCCCTGTTGCTGATCTTTTCTGGCCGGCCATCTGATCCTGAGTATTCAGCAAAGACAACTGTTAGTGAAGGTCTGAAATTTGTTTGAGATGCTCTTTATAACGTGTCTAGTCTCTGATCCGTAAAGTAGCACGGACTGATTTCACATTGGAGTTGAAAATCCGGATCTTATTTTTGATTCTGAGTGCTGTTGACCTCCAAACAGACTTGAGAGTAATGAAAGCTTGTCTTGCTTTTCCGATTCTGGCTATGATATCCTTGTCAGTTCCGCCTGTAGTTGAAACAATGCTTCCCAGGAAGGTGGGTAAAGGAGGTTGTTTCTTTCAGGTCCCTCCGACTTATCCTGGCTGTTTGTTGTCTGCTGTTGTTTTGCTGTTGGTGGTGTTGGCAACCAACTTGACAACCATAAATTACCCCAGACTAACGAACGATGATCAAGTTAGTAAACTTTGCATAAAGGGTATATATTGTGACGAATAATAATAATAACTGTGATATTTATATTATTAATAAGCAAAGTGAAAAAGCAAGAGAAAAATAACCAAGAGAGCTAAGAAGAAGGAGCACTCTTGGTGAGAAGAAATATCTTCAATCCAAGGTTGACCACAGTAGGAACAGCGTAGGCAATACTATTAGTAAACCTTGTTTTGATATAATAACTGATATACTATTACTTTTGATATTTGGTTTTAGTGATCTTCATTGTTATTTTGACTTTCAATTTGTCCTTTTAAGTTGAACTAAGTCTATTTTTCTCACCCCTTAACTCTTTGCTATATATAAAGCTGAGTGGATTTTGTAAATTCCAGTTTAATGATACTTTCAGAAAGCTATTAGCATTAAATAGGGAAACTTCAGTGAGAGCAACAATATCGTTTTGTTTTTCATTTATTGGGAAATACAAAAACCTTTATTATAATGTATTTAGGTTGCTTAGCTTACAAATATAGATATATATATCCTCCTATCAAGACTCACCAATAAGTTTAAAGCAATCAGTTCCATTTATGAAATTCTAAAAACAATGACAAGACGTAGGTGATGCTTAACGTGTAATGCATTCGTGTATTATGATGATAAACGTTGCCTTCATAAACATTTATATAAAAGATGTCTGAATTCCAAGTGTTAAAATTCATCGAATACAAGTGGAACTTTTTAAGTTTAGGATGATAGATTAACTGTAGGAAATATAAGGGGGTCATAATATCACTGGGTGAACATGTTTGGGATTTTCAAATCAGATTCAAAGTGATAACAAGTAATATTCGAACACATAAAAGTAGTTTAAAGACATGATCTACACATGTTGTACTAAGCGGTCTAGGTCAATATTGGAATACATTTTATAGCTTCTGTGTGTGACATACTCGACGATTACTGACGTCAGGCAACTAACTCAAGAGTTAGAATCGATGTTTCTCACACGTCTCGCATGTGACATAATTTTATATATGATGTTATGGTTAACAGGATGAGATACATTTTGCGTTCTTTTGGAAATGACTTTAGCTAAATAGGAACTTCTATGCTGTTTCTGTTCGTTTAGTGATAAGGATTCGATAAACAGCTTCAAAATGAAATGTCACATTAACTTCATATATTGGTTGCTGACTAGATTGATGAAGGCATCTTTCTGAGACTTATATTGCGTTGGATTGATTCTAGAAGTAATCTGTTATGTGATAACATCTTAGTGTGACTTTAAGTTTTTTTATTCACTGATGTCTTCTGAATATATACATACTGACTCATGCCTCCTTAAATTGTCAAGACTGTTAAGCAAACATTATTTCCTTGAACACTTTCTGGCGACAAAAACCCTTCTGATAGTCACCGCGTAAATTCCTGAAGTATTATTTCATTTCAGTCGTGTTGTTAACATCGTTTTTCTTTTGCAATTTCAGCACATCACAGTATGATCCTTTCCAGAGCATCCTCTACACATACTGCGCATAAAAGTCAGACAAAGCAAAGGGGTTCCGCCAGCTTTTTTGTTTGGGTAGGCACATGATTATTTGCTCAATATATTTGTGTGCTTGTGTAGTTCCTCGTAGATTTGATTATCATGATACTTGTGACAGTCGGTGCCGTCATCTTGATTAATAAAGAGTAAGATCAGATTAGATTGATAGATTAAACAATGTTGTCATTTTACAAGTGCAATATTCAGGTTCTTCGAAAGACATGGCTATATGCAATACATTCTTTTGTAAGTTCTATATTCAGTATTATTTTCTAATCTTTGCATTAATTTTTAATCACGGTGAAAGTTTCTGCTGTTATTCTTTTGGTTTCTAAGTGGAATGTAAAACCTCCAATTCACTTTTTCATCAGCAGTCATATCTCACAGACTCCACGAAGTTTCTATAAACGTTCATTTCCTGCTCACACAATGTCATCCATCTAACTACCAAAATCGACTAGTTGTAGTCTGAAAGTATGAAACGGAACACTTCGTCCTCCTGCATAAGTGTGAATATTTCTTTGAGTCAAGCACAGTGACGAAAGGCCTTTTAGTAAGCAAAACAACGGTTGTACGTCGATCGATCTCTGTATGGATCTATTTAAATATACTAACATCAGGAACTTCAAATCACTCCAACAATGCCTATTGGCAGACATATAGGCTAGGACAAAAAGGTGCTGTAGTAAAAGAATTAGTTGACCAAAGTTAAAAGGCACCAAATACCTGAGAATCAAGTGCTGTAATTCACCAGAAGAGGTGAGGTCGAAAATTCGGTCCACAAGACTCACACGCCAAACAATGCCTGCAGACATAATTGGGTTCACTCAAACAAAATCGCAGTGGTAAACTGACTCATTGTCAATGCATCACACAACTGCGATGAGAAATATTGAGGATTAAATCAGCATATAAAATAAAAGTGTGAGCGCAGTTGTCTACAGGGTATGAGAAAAACGGATAGTGATCACAAAGTTAGTCGGAACATCCAGATAAGTAAAAATATTGTGATTAAATTGGACTTTCCAATCAATTATTCAGTTACATTATTACGTCTCCTCTGCATGCAGCCTGTTTTGTTATAATCGCTAGTGTGTTATTCATCTGTCTTTTGTCTTTCCTGACATTAATCTCTACTTTTGTGCTGTAAATTGCAGAAAGCTTTTCCTTCTTTATTAATCGTACCCCTAGCTATTGTACTATTTCATCATCACGCTCTACTCTAATGTTCTAACAACACAGTCGACCGTTGTCCTGCTTCTATTATCTTCATAATATGGTCATACAGGTTTCTTTTATTATCGCCTCTAGAAACCTCCAGTGTTCTTCTACCCAGCCTTCATCGGTAGTGATACCAAATGACGGTATTAGATAATTTGAGGCAATCGGCAGCAAGCCTTTGACCGAGGTTTCGTGCTAGTTGGCACACACTGGTTTCTGGTGATAGATCAAAATATCCAGTACAATCCTACAGCTTTCCAGTGCCAACACCACAGCATGTCACTTCCTTTTTTCAACGACGAATAAGTCTGTTCTTCACATTTTCTGTTAATTATCAATAAACATGTGAAGATACAATCACTAATCACATAACGAATAATGTATTCCACATAACTGTACACTGTCTGAGATGAATTACTGATATTTGTAAATTCATTTTAGATCAATTACTGGCGTCCTACTGATGCTAATAATATTCGTGAGAAAAATTCGGTCGTACTATCTTGCTACTCGTATAGTGCTTGAAATTGTGGTAAGTATAAACTTGATTTAATCCTACATGGCAATCACGGGATTTTCGAAAATTCTCAAACGTCCGCAACAGCCGTTACGTGTTGTTACATAGACTTTATTTTTTTCTAAACTGCTACATTTAAGTTTGCGGTACAGTGTTGTTTGTATTTCCCCTCAATTATGGCCTTAGCACCCCATTGGTTTAGGACTGTTTCAACCTACCGCAGTAACTGGTGTCTCACGGCCATTTCGAGCACATCTGTATTTGTATAAATGCATTTGCTTTTGATATGAAATAGTAAAAGGTATAAGCAAACGGTATATTTTCTTATCTTCTTGCATGGGCGGTTCGGTGTTGTCGTAGCATATCGTGTCGTTGTTGTAGCTCAAAGTGATTAAAAGAGTAGGCTTGTCCTTCAGCTAGGTAAGGAATATTTAAGCGCGAACCACATATTGTATTTCCTGTCATATCAGATATAATTGACAATATTTCGCGATGTGAGGGTAGAAAATCCTATTCCCATTACATTGTCAAGTTATGGTAAAATGATATCAATTTAAAGAAGGAAGTGAACATAATCAGAAGGAGACCACCACTTGAATACTGACAGATACTTAGTGAAAACCTGCTTTCTTATCACTAGTTTACGTGTAGTTTGCTACAACAGCAGAGGACGTCAGCATCTAAATTTTGCTTATAAATATATTCGTCAAATATGGACTTCATATAAAGTCATCGTTAATATACATGCAAAGTCATTCCACATTCAGTTGTTTTTACGCAACAATGCATACATCGACGTTCAATCTTCCATGTTACCTCTTCGATATATCTGATTCATTCCAAAAATAAACTAAAGTTTGCCATCTTGGTAATAAATGAAGGTCCATTACGGAATCCAAGGATGGCTATGTTTAGTTCAGGATGCTTTTGAAAGAAACAACCGCCTTCACCTACCTGGGAAGCGTCGTCTCAACTACAGGCGGAACTGACGAGGACATCAAAGGCAGAATCGGAAAAGCAAGACAAGCTTTCATTACTCTCAAATCTGTGTGAAGGTCAACAGCACTCAGCATCAAAAATAAGATCCGGATTTTCAACTCCAATGTAAAGTCAGTGCTACTATACGGATCAGAGACTTGGCGAGTCATAAAGAGCACCTCAAACAAACTTCAAACCTTCATTAACAGCTGTCTCCGCTCAATACTCAAGATCAGATGGCCAGAAAAGATCAGCAACAGGGATCTCTGAGAGCGAACTAATCAGGAACCGATTGTGAAACAAATAGGCAGAAAGAAATGGAGATGGATTGGCCATACGCTGAGGAAACCATCAAGTGACATCACTAGACAAGCCCTCGAGTGGAACCCGGAAGGGAGGCGGCGAGTTGGTCGTCGGTGCAATGGTGACTTGGAGGAGGTCATGCGAGGAGGAGATGAAAGCATGTGGACAGACCTGGAGCAGGGTGAAAATGTTGTCAGAAAACCTAAGGCAATGGAGGTGCGCAGCTGAAGCCCTATGTTCCTCTAGGAACTAAAGGATACAATAATAATAATAATAATAATCGATGCACCACAAAAGTATCAGTCCGTTATAACTTCATTTGGATAGGTTACGTAAATTGACGCGTCCTCATTCCACTAGGATGTTATCGCATTGCTGACAATATGCACTTGATGTCTTCATTTATCGATATCATTTTCTCTGTGATAGGTTTTACTCTGGTCTGTGAGCTTTGCTATCTTATTCAAATCGACTGAATGGTCATGTGGATTGATATCACTGGGTATAACGATTGCGATAACAATTTTGGCGGTCTTTCTGGCTTGGAAACTATCACCATTGAATAGGAAGGGGTTTATCGTTTTCATTTCAATATCAATCGCCATTGCTGTTTTGTCCAACATTGCCGTGATTTGTTATTACTTGTTCAGCAATGGTTTAAAAAATGAGGTAAATTTATATAGATAAAAGGTGAACTATTATACACGGGAAACTCATGAAATAAGATGAAATCTCTGTTTGACTTCCGTGTTAATTCTCTTGTTGAATATCTCTCTAATATCAATGTGATATTATGAGCCACAAGCACATATACTTACAGCTTTCTGGAACTCAATTCACCATTCATGTGGTTTGATCAATATAAATGGATATCAATTTAACTGACTAAAATGCCTAATAAAACTTTCAAAAGAGTGGATACTGAACAAAGAGTACTCTTTTCAGTAACCCCTTCATCATTAGGCTCTACATTTGTACATACATTATAGTGGATGAATGAATTCGTGTTATTAACAACGTCAATGCTGTTTAAATAACATCGAATCAATAATAATATTGATAGATTACAGCTAAACAGCATCAATATAAAATAAGCTGAATGTCAGAAAAAGTAAGGAAGGATGATATTACAAATTCATGAATTTATAGTCTCTACTGAAGGCCAGTCAGGGCAGTAATAGTGCCTGGCTGGACTTGCTAATTTTGAAAACAGACCACTGGTTGTTTGAGGTGAATTGCAATAGCCTCTGCTGTTTCGAGCATGCGGTGCTTCGAGGATTCTGGCACTTTATTATGCACCCAGAAGATTATAGAGAAGGATTCTTCCATCCCGGCTTTGAGGCCGGTTTGCCCCAGATGGTCCAATATCGAACTGTTAATGGTTCTAACTACACCTTTACTTAGCCGTACTGGGGGATGTTCTCGAGCACGAAAAATAAAGTTTATACAGCGAAGGCCAATATAACTCACCCCACAAGCGCAGTTGAAATGGTTGATACAATTTGAAGTGGTTTGCCTGGGTACTTCATCTTGCAGTCAATGAAGCCCCATCGAGCATGTAATCTTACTTGGTATATCACCCTTGAACTGTGGTCGTATCTAACAGGACTTCTTGTTTACAGATAGTGAGTGGACCTTTTCAGCTTTCGTTGTCATATGTTTCTTGATAAATTTGTCAGGATAGCCATTTTCGATCAAAGTATCATATACAATGCTTAGTTTAACTTCAACTTCGCGTAGATTTTTAGCTCGCTAAACCCGGATGAAGAGGGAGGGTTGGGGCGTGCAACTAGCAAATCCAAACCCAAAACCTAACCAAACTGCTACAGAAACTTCAACGCATAAATATAATCAGAATTCCAAAAATATAAACAATAGCCTTATTTTTCGCTGGAATCGGAGAAGTGAAATGACACGGGCTGATGAAAGCCTTCGGGAAGACAGTCAGCCGATGTGCCGATGACAGCAAAATTAAAGATGGGTACGTGGAATGTTCGTATAATGTACGAAACTGGAAAGGCTGCCCAAGTAGCCATAGAAATGAGAAGATAGCAGCGTTTGGAATCTGCGAGAACAGATGGAACAGCTGTGGAAGGTTCCAATTACCAACTGGAGAGACAATATTCGGGTCAATCAGAGAACAATCAGGAGCACACCCAAGGGGTGGCCATCATTATGTCACCAACAACAGTCAAAGCTCTCATGCAGTGGGAACCTATCTCCTCCAGGATAATGAAAGCTGGGTTCAACTCAAAAGGAAGGAAGCTTACAATCATCCAATGCTATGTGACTACAAACGTCTCAGAACAAGAGAAGAAGGAGGCGTTCTACAGACAACTACAAACAGTATTGGACAACGCCCAAATGGCGATATCAAAATCCTGATGGGTGATATGAACACGAACCTGAGAGAAGACAATAGACCAAGAGAACTCATCATGGGTGGATTGGCCCTTGATGTAATGAACGAAAATGGTGAATTCTTTTCAGACGTCTGCGCCTTCAATGACATTCTGATTGGTGGCAATGTGTTCAAACACAAGGATATATAAAAGACGACATGGATTTCATCAGATGGAAACACCAAGAACCAAATAGACTTCATCTCAATTTCAAGAAAGTGGAGATGGAGCCCACTGGACACAAGGTCGAGGAGAGGAGCAGATGTGAGTTCAGACCACAATCTAGTACAAGAGACTTTCAAGGTGAAACTAAAAGCCTCGAGGATAGATGATGATAGGCAGCAATGCAAGTTCGACACTCAATTACTGAAAGATACAACCACAAAAAACACCTTCACTGCAGCTGTCAGAGAAAAGCAGGAAACACTACGCGACATCATTGAAGAAACGTGCGTGGAAAAACATTGGAAGTCTCTGAAGGCGATTCTCAACGAAACGTTTTCAACGGTTTCAGGAAGGAAGAAGGGACAAGACAAGGAATGGCTCTCAATGGAAACTTGGAGGCTAATAGAAGAGAGGAGAATGGTGAATGAGATAATGACAAGAGAAGGAGACGCTGAGCTCAACGTACACAGCACTGGACAAAGAAGTTTAGATGAGTGCTGGGAGGGTCAAAAGACAATTCTACGACAATCTGGCCACTGAAGCTGAAGATTCAGCAGGCAAAAAGGACTTGAGGACAATATATCAGATAACCAGTTCTCTATCCGAGAAGAGATCAACACAAGCGAAACCTATAAAAGACAGCCAAAAGAACCCACTTACCAAGGAAGAAAGACAGGTTGAACAATGGGCGGATTTGAAAGGGCATTCATTCGTTCACTTCATTATCTAGGGAGGATTGTCTCAACTACAGGCAGTCCGAACAAACGAGGATGTCAAATCGAGAATGGGGAAGGCGAAAAACGCATTCATCAACCTGAAACCGATCTGGGAATCGTCGTCACTCAGCATCAACAACGAAATTCGGATTTTCAATACAAACGTTCTTCTATACGGATCAGAAACATTGACGGTCACAAAGAATATTTCCAACAGCCTGTTGCAGACATTACCTTCATCAACAACTGTCTTCGCTCTATACTGAAAATCAGATGGCCGGGCCAGAAAGAATCACTAACAAGAAACTATGGGAACAGAAAAAACAAGAACGAATCGCCAACGAACAAATATGCAGGAGAAAGTGTAGATGGATTTGACACTCGTTGAGGAGCCCCATGGGTGACATCGCGCGTCAGGCCATTGCTCTAATGGAACCCGAAAGGGAAACGGCGAGTGGGACGTCAGTACAAGGGTGACATGGAGGAGATCGTGTGAAGAGGAGTTGAAACAGTATGGACTAACATGGATGGATGCAGGTGAAAAGTATAGCAGAAGGAAGACAGAAGCAAGTGAAGACGTGCAGCTGAAGCCCTATGTTCCACTAGTAACTCAAGGGAACAATAATAATAATTACAATAGTTCATCTTCAATTAACTCTTCTGAGCATATAGCTCTAACTATGTGGTTGAGGGTTTTCACTAAATTTCTTTTATACTTGATAGGAACGAAGATGTAAACATGTATATATTGTCCTGTCCAATTGCTTTTTCAATGTAGATTTCTTTTTATGCTAACATCTCGTTTTCTTGTAAGTAGGACGTCCAGGAAGGCAATTCTGTCTTCGGAATACTCTTCACATGTGGATTTCATAGCCGAAAGTACTTCATTGAATTCAGTAATTATTGCACATCTATCAGAACCGTTATCACATAGAACGGAGGTATCATTCATATATCGGCAATAAAATGAGAGCTTACTGATAAGATTGCTCAGAGGTCCATTTTTTAGCCCACCTAGAAAGAAATCAGCCGGAATGGGACCCAGTGGGAAGCCCATCGCCACCGCGTCCACTTGCCTGAAAAACCTGCCGCTGTAATTTACAGAACTAAGGATGACTTTCAAACGACATCGTAACAACAACCAAAGATGTGACTGTGGTGTAAATAACATCCCAAATTAGTCAGAAAGAGTTTTAAAATGAAGGACAAGTAATTGGTCGAGTATGTGACTTACCTAAATATCATGCAGTGTGTCACTTATATCTGAGATTCTAAACTGCTTTTTCAGTGAGATGATGAATGTTCATTACTGCGAGAACCCTGTTTATTGACTTAGACGGTACAGCAATTCGGTTGTCAAATAGCAGCAAACCTGAGTACTTTCGATTGTGAGTAACCAAATTTTCTACATTTACTTTCAATTTAGATAAGCTGCTTTGCGATGGTTGTTTTGACCGTGCTATTTTTAATCATTGTAAGTTTGTGATTTTGTCAGATCATTGATCCCAATCTAATTTAGAGATAAATAATACGTAGGACACAAGGTGTTTGATGATAACATACTGTCTGCTTAAGTCATCTGATTACTCAGATAATGCTTTGTTACCCTTAAGTTACCAGGCAACATATTTATCGCACGAATGACATATTCAAGTTTGATTCCACACAGTCAATTTGGTACAAGTATGAAGTTTTCAGCATGTGATATTAGTAGTCCAAGTTTTTCTGGCCGACCATTGATGCCAGGTGTGCGTTCGCAGAGAATGAAACTCCGTACTATGTGCATGGTCGGTGGGAGTCCTAAGCACACTGCCATCGACTGACATAGAAAGTGAACTAACAAAAATATTGAACGAAATAGAACATAAGGACAGTTGACTAAGAAGAATATGTGAATTATCATCAATGCGAATATCAGCTGTAACTGATTTTTATGAATGAAGTTCTGTTGTAGGTGTGACGAATATTCACTATAATTGCAGTCTTTGCAGGATTTCGTATCCTTTCGCTATTTACTGCGTCTGCGCCATACAGTTTGACAAATATGTAAGCGAATGTACCCTACCACAAAAAATAAATAAATTGCGTAGAATGGTGAACCATTTGAGAAGCCAGTCAAGACACGCGTCTCAATCAATGACAGCAAACGTAATAGTAGGGACACGAAATTTACATACAGTTTTCAAAATTGACTGATGAGGGAGAAAAGGGGCCAGTATGACGTATAAGAGCTTCGAGAATGCTAGAGTAGATGGTATCGAAGCAGACGTTACACGTTTTCAACTTGTGAGTAAATAATATACCGTTGTCACCCAGATGATAACTACAAACGTCCAAAGAAATTGAGTATCATGATGTCACTAACTAAGTCAAAAATTCTCATTGACTGAGGGCTAATCTTCCCCCAGACCATCAAAGGATAGGAGCTACCCGTGGAAATTCGAAAATAAGGCAGGTATTGTAAACGACTACTTGAATATGGCTTCATTGTTCTCACCATTTTCCATTTTCTCTGCAGATAAAACCGAAATGATGTTAAGAACAGAGTTAAAAATAACAACTTACTGCCATTGTGTATGAAATTTCTACAAACACTCATAAACTTTAAAAAAATTAAGTTCCTTTTATGAATTTAGCAAAAGCAATAAGAAGACATGTGCATCGGTGGCATAGTGGTTAGGACGCTCGCCGACCATCCACATGGTTCGAGGTTCGATCCCCGGCCGACGCACCCCCTTACTCTAGCCTCTAGCTTGAAGCCCCATGTTACGCTGGGGAACGTGAAGGAAAAAAAATAAGTAGACGTAATTTGTCTAAATCGTGTAATGTATTTGCGCAACACATTTGGAACAATATGATCACACATGGACTTGTCATAGGAATATATATATATATATGAAATAAATAAAGAGGTAAGAGGTGAGAAAATAGACAAGTTAGGTCAAGTTAAAAAGACATATTTAAGGTCGAAATAAAAAGCCATATAGCAGAGGTAACAGTACATCTGCTAGGGTATCAAAACAAAGTTTACCAAGGAAGGCTTAGTGTGATGACCAATTGTTTTTGAACGCATAAAAGTGGCTTGAGTTTTTCCAATTGCTAGGGCTTCCACAAACTTTAGGATACACCTCAAACACGTTTTATAGATAGATTTGAAAGATCTGTTAACGTCAATTTTATGTCCTGTCTCTATACTATGTTTCGCAATAGATGAGCTAGGTCTCCTTTTTTCACCATTAGTGGGTTCTGAAGATACCATTTGTTTCTGAAGCTATTTAGGAATATTCTTTGAAGCACTTCCTTCCAGAGATCCATCAGTTCTCCCTATTAATGTGTGTCTACAAGTGCATTCGTATTAGTTAATACAGTGAGATGTGACGTCATTTTTCACGCTTTTGGAGGGCTTAGAGAGATACAATGGCCTTACCTTCTCTATTATTATGATATTAGCTGCATAAAAAGTCTTTTTAACAGCAGTGTTCAGTCTTTGTCTAGTTATCAAACTGCTTTGATGTCCCATATAGGGTAGCTTGATGTACACGTCTTTCTTAGGGGCGAGTTGGAGAATGGGTCTTTGTGTTCCGCTGACTATCATATATCTCCTGATGAACTTGTCTGGATAATTGTTATCAATCAGAGTTTGTGTCAACGCTCTTTCTTCTTCATCAAGCGTATCTTCAGTGCATATTCGTTGGATTCTACTGAAGAGGCACCTTACTAAAGCTCTTTTGTACCGAACAGGGCAGAAACTGTGGTAATTAAGATACTGATCTGTCGTGTACAGGTAGGTTTTCTATAAATAGATCTTTTTATTGACCCATCAAGCCGTCGACCAAGCATTATGTCTAGGAAAGATAATCTTCCTCTTCTACGGATGTAAGTGATATACTATTCTTAACTTCATTCATTCGATTTGAAATTGTGGTGGGGGAACAAGACTTACACTATTCAGACAAATTACCTCTTCTTATTGCTTTAGCTAATCTCATAATCTTCTTTCTTTCACTTTTTCACTCGATAGATCATGTTCACTTGTGTCAGTGTCCGCAGATGGCTGATGTGGTGGTTTGCACCTCAACCTACAGAATTTATTCTGGCTGTCATAATTTGGTTTCTAATGCTGATTCTCTTCAGTGAAACGTATACTTGCATGATATCATGCTTACAAAAATGCAGTAACAGTAAACGCAATGTATGTGTCTGAAGATATCCATAATAACAGGTTAAATGTGTCTTCTTTTCCGGAATGTAGTGTGCTGATTTGACTGCGTACAATAACAAATTTTGGTGTTTTCTTAAACGGAAATCGTTCAAACATCCAGTATACAAACAGAACAGAATGAGCACATGTAACTCCTTCTCACTTATCATTCTTACATGAGTGCATACGAAATGAGGTGTGTGTTTGAGCATTGTCTGGAAGATGTATTTTGAACATTAGGAATAAGTTGATCATTTCCGAGCGCAAGGATTGACTTTTCAATGTTAAGGGTTGCCTTCGTAAAACTGTTCACATATTTTAATCACACAGCGATTACAATCATTCATTTTTCCGTCTACAATATCACAAAAATCCTCTATTGGCGTAAGTAGTCCACGTAGTCAGTTAAGCAGAACTGAGACAGATAGACGCGTATCCTCTTTTAATTTATTGAGAGCCCACACAAGTCTCCTGTCTTCTGTAGTTAGAAAAATGGTGTTATTTGCGCGTCGGTAGCACAGTGGTTAGCACTCTCGCTGATCATGCACATGGTCCGGAGTTCTATCCTGTGCAGACATACACCTGATATCTATGGTCGGCCTGCAAAATTTGGGCTACCGATATCACATGCTGAAAATTCCATACCCGTAACAAAAATACGGCGTGAAATCAATCTGTAATAGAAACATGACCAATATTATAATGGTTGCAATATTGAATGATCACTTCAACCTAAAGTAGATATTTCATGAATCACTTTCCTATGTTTTACCAGAACTGCAGACAACCAGACGACAGTGTTAACTATTCAGCCACTGAGAAATCACTCAACGTAATCCTAACTTCGGTCATTCATCGATATATAGCGATAACGCCAAAGCAATTTCATCGATCCTCATGCGCAACTGGGCGGACGATGTTGATCGCTGACTCTCACTCAATTTTTAGGCAACCTTATCCTTAGTCAGCAGATCACTAGACATTGGAGCTGATGGGTCATTGGATTTCACTTCACTGACTGAGTGATATGAGGGATATCTTTGTAAACTGTAGGTCCTGCTCTGCAGTGGTGTGCACGTTCTGCTCAAAACTCTCAGATGGAGACGGCAGAGTGATCCGGCATTCAAAGCTTTCCCGTGGTTATCAAAATGAGGTCAGCTTTCGAATAAAAACTGAAATAATTGAAATCCCTGCAAACTGAAACTTGAAAATTCTACGACTAAACTGCCATTCTCATTGTGTCTTCGTGTAATACAAGAGAAGCAAATGAAAATCAATACTGTCCATTTTCTTAAACATGAAAGAGATTTGAAATACAGAAGCAGAAGGATGGCGTGGAATAATGAAACTATTTTATCATATACATTTTGGCTGCAAAGGAATTTTGAGTTAAATATCCATCTTTTAGTCTGACATAGTGCGCAATGATAGTAAATGGATTCAAATCCTTTTGATACTTGTGATATTGGCTAAAAATTAATAATGAGGTAATGCTTACCATTTGAATATGCAGAAATGACATTTCTAAGAGTACGATGGTACCAGTCTCATCTTGAGCTCTGCCAACATGAGTCGTTGTGAAAATATTTTCTATTCACATGAGAAATCCTCAAATAACGCATAGAGGAAAATGTACACATTTTCACCAAATAATTCAAATATTATTATTTAATTTATTTGTATAGTAATTTATTTTAACTAAGTTCAACCAATCATTGCAGCGAATACAGCAGAACAAAATGAATTCATTATTTACCCTATGGATTCTGTCTACATCTCAAATAGGATACCATTTTCCAACTTGGTAAGGAACATCTGGCCAGACCCATAAACAATACAAGTCTGAATTTATGTTAGGCGTAAAAGCTCGAGTTTGAAACGATTACCGCCGAATTCTAGTCTCATTGGGACTAATACCACCATTCAATGAAAATGCGGATATACTCGATTGAAAAGTTTCGAATGTCCTGTAGTTCACTGCTAATCATGGTAACTATCAGATGAATCTTAACATAGCATCAAAGCGTTTTTAGCAGGAGTTGACATGTCAGCAGGCACTGAACAATTGGGTCTAGCATTATTAACCGGTGGAAAATACGAAAGTATCCTGAAGACAAATTAAACGAATATTTATAGAAAAACAAAAGAATTCCATTTGTTTTAGGATAAAAATAGCGTTTAACTGTGAGGGTGGAATCCATAGAGAGCGACATTGGAAGAAGGAGCAAGGGCTACTGACGTTCAAATGAAAACAATAAACTAAATTTAATAAATCCAAAGTGATATGAGTAATTTTAGGGTGTTTCTGCGGCTGAAGTTTAATTTCTAGAGTGGTGCAATGTTATTTTTCTGCATACATAAATTTTTTTCACACATTCGTTCCACTATTGTTTAAGCAGCAGGTCCTTCAGATCTTATTGCAGAAAATCACATGAATCAACCAACTCCTTGTCCACGTAGTCTAAGATTTATCAAGTACATAGTAACTAATAGATTCCATTAGAGGAAAACTTAGGGGAGACTTTGTCCAATTTTAGTCGACGTAATCAACTTTTGATTTGATACACACATATAAACTTGGCGGCAGATTGTATTGCTTTAGGTGAAGACTTTACTTTGAACCTTATTCCACCACTTATGCTATCATTTTTAAAGGCAAAACTGTAGGAAAATAGGCCCTTTGTTCAATCTCCTGTGATGCATTGTTTCCACACTTTTTCCATGTTTCTCGATGAACTACTTTTAGTGTTATTGTTGATGCAAATCATTTCTAAATGCATCGTTGTTGGACATCTTTGGTTGGTTTCACGCTTCTTATCTGTAATACCTGTCAGAAATAAAGCTAGAACAGTGGAGGAAATAATTGGATTACAAAATGTAGAATTGTATATCTGCAAAGAGAATTGAAAAATAAACCGAGTGATTTATTACTTGTGTGGCCTGTGTTTTCCCTCCTCCTTTACCAAAGCGTTGAAAGCATCAAAAATTCCGTGCACCTGCGATAGAGACATTCACTTTTGGTTTCCACTGGAGCTCAATGGCTGAGGTTGGCGTTGATTTATGCATTACCGAATACCCTTAAGTCTGATACTACTTTATGGGAAATGAAAAGCTTCGGATGCTGATATAAAGGAGATTTAATTATATTCGATATTTAAAGGCAACTACTGTCAAGATGGAAGATTTCACTTTTTAAATCTGGATTTAGTTTACTATGTGAACTTGATAACGTATACGGATAATTTCAGAAATCACTGCGGAACCTGTGGCCAATCGGCAATCACTTTTCTAACATGCGTGCGAGAAATGTATAAATATGGTACGTTTTTCACCAATAAAAGTACCCCTTACAGCCGGGTATGTTGTTCTGTCTACTGTTATTCGTCGGGCTCAGTGAACTGCGGGGTGCCGGAGGCAGATAATTGTATCTGGCATTTAGGCTGACTTTCCATTGCATTCGCTGTCACTGAGCCAATAAATAAACCCACTTGGTTATATCTCAAACTGAGTCAACTGCAACGTAAGAGCACAACCACACAAAAATATTCCCACGCAAGCAAGAGAAGAGAAGGCGGAGTGAAGACAATAGGGTTTTTGAAGTGACAAAACCGTGGTGAGATTCATTTATAGCGATTCTAATTGTTTATCAGTTTGAAAGGAGAAATAAAGTATTGAATGATACGCTGAGTGTTAGCAATCAATACAAGCTCTGTCTTGGCAAAGAGTGGAAAATACAAAATGTGTCTCATTACGATCTTCATTACTTTAGAACAGTGTCAATTAAAGGGATTATAAGTACTTTAAAATGACAAATTAACTTTTCATTGTTTTTTGAATGCAAGCGAAATTACAAAGACATATGCAGGTGTCTGAGTCCAACGGTGTTAACTCAGAGCAATATAGGAAGTTAAACTATGGCAGCTGCCTATGCAGACTTCACAGATGACTCAGGGAAAACAATCACATATCGGCAGTGACATAATTGACAGATCTGTTAAGAAGAAAACTTCATTAGAAATGTCTAAAATTTATTTTATACGGGATAGTTCTCTTTCACATATTGTAGAAAAGTGTTTGAATTCATCAATGAGTACTTATCGGTGAAATCGACTTAATTCGGTGCACCTGTTATACCATTTATTTGTATATATATTATTAAGCTTTGATATTCTCTAATATTTCTGAATCTTTCGTTGAGGTTTTCCAAAAAAACTTTTGCAGTTGAATTCGATTGCATGCCTACACGTTTTGCATCCTAAAATATGATACCTGAGTTGTATATTGTTCGAATGGATACAGAAATGAGAAAATGAACTGAATTTTTCAAATGAAAGACATCCAATTCAGATAGATTTGTCTTGGAAGAGTAGTAGCAGCTGCCAGCCTATTAGAAAATACTTTGAGAGCTTCATTAGTCAAAATACTATTGCATAAATTCGCCAGTTTAATTCTAGCAGAGAAACGCTAATTCTTTAAATATGTTATTAAATAATCTCACGATGAACAATCCGACTCACATAATTTTTCAGGATTTACATTTCTGGTAACAAGTGGATGGCTAATATAAATTCGTCTATTGATCCAGTAACTCTTACCGTCTCTTACTCTCTCTTTCATTGGAAACGTCAGACTACACGACTATTGGTTTGGTCCTTCTATTCATCGAAACTGACTGAATCAATGACTTTCGATATTAAAACTCTATAGCCTCAATAGGATTGTCCAACCAAGAAGGATCTTATGATGAATACTCTAAGTACTTTAGCGTTGTCTTGCATGAATACACATGATTTGTGGGTGTACATGAGTGTGAGAGTTCACAAACACCATATTTAAAATTCGCTAACTGTGACAAGCCTTTTTCCGTTTGAAATATAATAACACTAAGCAACAAAGCGCACTATGATCAAGAAATATGGAAGGTGGTGTCGATAATTTTGTTGAATAAGGCTGAAGTATGTATGTATATATATATATATATATATATATATATATATATATGGAATTAATTGAATACTTTATGACACATAAGTTTGAAATGATGACTTTTATCAGGTGAGCTAATTTCTTCCACTTTCATTTTACTGCTTTTGTTGGTTTCGTATTATTCTTCAGTTTATCTGGTTTCGAATCTAGTTTTGTGTTGATAATGGCCAAAATGATAGCGACGAAAACCGACGTGACATGATGTGAAATCTGAAAAACAATATCTGCATCCAACTGTATTCTTGACCAAAACCTTCTTGAGAAATGAATAGTCGGAAAAAAACAACTCCAACAGTGGTAAAAAGAGATTTATTTCCAATAAAATTGATGAATCATTTAAAAGTAATAATACATCAGAAATTCAGCATTACCTCAGAAATGCCGTTAGACAGATCAAAGAATACAGATGAAACAATTTTCAGCACACAAAGAACCATACGGCAAAATTGGTTAGCAAAATATCAACTGTGAGATTTTCTGAACAAACAAGTGAACTTTTTTCAAGAAGGTGGGACCAAAACTCGAATAACAATTAATACACATCAAACAATACTTGCAGGCAGTGATAGGCCAGAATAACTTCCACTCGCTCACGCAGAATCGCAGTCGTTAATCACCGCATCAATGTCATCACCCACCCACTAAGAAGTATTTTGAAATTATTCATTAAACCGGAACAAAGATATATAATGTAGATTAAATCGACGAATGAGATGCAAACCTCAAAAGAATGATGGACAGTATAGGAGAAAAAAAGTATAATAAATACACATTTAGTCTCACGGTTTACTAAGCAAGGAAAATTGGAATTGGAAATGAGTATCCTTAATCAGAATATTGTGTAGTTACATCACTTAGTAACACAGTGCATTACGTTGACAAAATGAATTCGTCCCAGCCAATGAAACAAAATTTTAAAAGCTTAACAACTGAACAGATCCAGATGAAAAGGCTGAAAAGCAGCTCACAAACAAACATGCTGAGAGGAGCTGAGAGAAATTGGAGTCTTCCCAAAGGCAGCCTAAAATCGTGTTACACCTAATGGAAGTGGTCCTTCACTATTGTGCGGACTGCCTACAGCGTTGCAGTCTGTTATTTTTCTGACGGTTTTCTTGAATTATAAGCAATTAGTTCACTTTATGAATTTCAACAACACAATAAGGAGACGTAAATAGCCTATCTGAAAGATGTAATGCAGTGTGAACTTGCACAATACATTTAAGACATTCTGATCACGCACACGAGTACTTGTGTTGTAAAGTTTTAGAGAAAGCAAGAGTTGGCATGAATCATCAAAATACAGGTGTGTACAAATGAAGCTCACAAATAATGGGTAGGGAGATAACAAAGATAGGGTTGAAAATATTATGAAGTAAAATCGATTATCAAAGCCGATCAGAATAATATGAAGAGTTTAAAAGACAAATGAACAATAACTTTTCCACATAGTCATGTAGTACCATATCATGGGATGATAGAAAAAGTGGCAGTATT